ATGGGAGCGGCCTCTAGCTTCAATCAGCTTCTGTAAGCATCCACAGTATAGATGGGCAGCTTAGCGTTTTTTTACAGCTTACGTTACGGCGTGCGTAACGTAAGCAGTTTACAGTTACGAAATGGCCTTACGACTTTACGGTTGGTACTGAACTTCTTCTTCAGGATTGTGGCGGAAAGATTCGCTGTAGTGCAGTCCACGATAACTCAAACAGTTGTTAAACACATTTCTTGTGGCTCGGATTCAACCACACCGCTGAGAGAGTAACATTTGGATTGGCATTTGCCACTCGTTTCCCTTGCAAATTCCATCCGTCTTACTCGCAGGCTGGCCCGGAACTGCCAAGCTGGCCTCATCCACGGATTCGCATTCACATGAAATAGATTTAGGCGACTTGAATGATCAATCCTGGTTTTGTCCTCTGAAACTCCGTAAGACCCGTTACGGCGCCTTAATTTTGCGGTAGGGGGCTTGAAGCGTAACCATAAAAGTGAACCGTAACGGCCCGTCACGTAATTCTGCGCATCTATAATCCCAAAGATAGCGGCGCTAACCGCCCAAGACAGCGAACAAGAGGCAAAGTAGGCTAGCCCTCCCTTCTCGAGCTCGGGATCTCCACAGAAGGATTCCAACGGATCCGTGAGAATGCGACCGGGATCTTTGATACATGCGGCCAAACAATCTGGATTGATGAGCTTGGCATCGAAGGAGCCAATACCAGAACGTCTGATGTAACTCACCGTGCCCTCAGCAGTATCCACCTTGGAGGAGTCATCGGAGTTGTTGAGAGAAGATTTGATGTTGAAACCTGCGATCAAGTTATCCACGAACTTATCCGCAGCTCGAGAGATGGCGTTCTTCTCAGGAATAGAAGAGACGCCCAGCTGTTGGACTTCAACGACAGATTCCATAATACGGTCAGACTCCCTGGAAACCTTGGCGATCTCAGAGATGAGCTTCGAGGTCCTAGCAGATCTGGGCTCCTTGTTGAAGGCTTGCTCGGCGTCAATGGTGCCGGCAGCAAGTGTCGAAACGAGATCCTCGCGACAACCGACCTTGTCGGTCGCGGAGACAACGCCTTCCTGGCCATAAGAGGCGTTATGAAACGCTGAAGCAAATTATTGACTGACCTTTCGTAATATTTCACGCAATACAAGTTCTACTGCGTGAAATTCTCCGAAATAGCGTATGGTTTTACTGTAAAACCATGTGTTCAACGAGCGTAGTGGTATGGAGTTCATCCAATTGATGTTTCAAAACATGCGTACTATGCGAATTATATGTTGAAGCTTTGTATTCGGTACTGTCTAGGTATAATTACTCGTCGGGACGATTCACGATGAGGCGACGGTAACGAGATGACAAGGGGCTATCGGGTAGGTTGGAACGTTTCCGAAACGGCTTAGTGCGCCTGTAGTTACTGCACGCGGTAGTGAAATCGTATCTCGAAGCCAGGCAGTGAAATCGTGTAGCTATAAGAAGTATTTAAATTGATCGGATCACTAGCTGGGACAGTTGAATAACGCAGAACCAGATAGCAACACGCATGTGCACCTGTGTGGAATGCCACGGTGCTAGCTGCGGTGGCGCCGTAGCGACGTCACGGAAAGAACGTTTTTATAGATAATCCGTAGGCGAAATACATTCCCCCGTACTTCGTAAAGAATCCTCTGGTCTCCAATCGATCAGCAAATCCCTATCATGTGGTTCACCGCCGGGACTCTCCACTTCATTCTTATGACTCAAGCTATCGCTGGAGGATCGGATCGTTATGGTCAACTCAAGAATATCGACCAGGCATTCCACGACTTCATGACACGGTGAGATGATCCGTTCCCTTCAGCATATACTATATGCCATCTGTCTCTCTCATCGGCTATCAGAGTTCTTGAAGATACAATAAGAAGTATGAGACGAATGAGCAGTACCAGGTTGCAAAGGCTGCTTTTGCAGGAAACGTAAGGGAGATAGAAGAATTGAGAGCGAACGGTGAGCGATGGAAGCTTCTATTCCTCTTATGTTCATTATATGGACGATATAACCCATGAAGTCGGTTTGAACGAGTATGCAGACCTGCCACCTGAAGTATCCGATAGAGTGCTCCAGTCTGCAGAAGATCCACAATCCAAAGGGAACTTGCGATCAGTCAATGCGACTTGTAGGGTCACTCTCATCTCGTTACACTAAAGCGGCTCCAGTGAAGTCAAAAATATCCCTCAGACTCACAAGATCTCATCATGGATCTTCCTCCGTCGATTGATTGGGAAGCCGCTGGCGCTTTGGCTCCAGTCAGGAATCAAAAGGCTTGTGGGTGCCTGCTACGCCATAAGCGCTGC